AAAATTAACTTTCTGTTTGACACTTCCTTTAGGGAATACCTCCTGACATTTTATTGTAACACCAGCAGAGGGAGCAGTTTGATCTTTTATCAACATTAAAATCCTTCTGCAGATGAACTGCACAATATTTTTGTACGGTAAAAAAGTTTCTTCTTAAAAAAATAAAATAAAACACACCTCAAAATGTTTTTACAATAGTTGTACTTCAATTACAACCTAGGCATCATAACTTTGGTCTTAAATGTATTTGTTTAATTAATGTTTATATGCTGACAAAAAGCAAACATCTTTTAATATTTTATTTTTATTCATTATTGTTTAAACTCCAACATAAAATCCTAATAAATAATCTCAGTGTTGATAACTTGTGAAGAGGCTCCAGGTTCCTCAGCTCCAGCATCAGACCAGTTTCACCAGTCTCTCACTGGCCTCCCACAGTTTCTTTGCCACGCCGGCGTCTCTTGCAAAAGGCCTCAAAGTGGCCGGCTGGCAGTCAACAAAGTATCCTCCGCTGTGTTTGGCAGCTTCATCTGACATGGCACAGTAAACGACGGTCTGAGCTCCGATCTCACACGACACAAAAAACATCCACATGATCACCTGCATCAGCATCCTGAACAGGAACGAGTAGTGGACCGTCCAGCTGCTCTGCACAAAACCTGGAGGATCAGATTTCAGATTTAGAACCAGCAGGACGAAGGTTCAAACTGAAATACACACGTTTGTCTCACCAGGGTGCACGGCACAGGATGTGACTCCTTTTCCCTCAGTGATGCAGGCCAGTTCCTGACTGAAGTAGATGTTGGCCAGCTTGCTGCGGCAGTAGGTGAAGAAGGGAACCAGGTTGTAGTTCAAGTCTTGGAAGTCCAGTTTCTGATATTTATAGCTGGAACATGTGAGCGTTAGAACCCGGCTGGGGGCGCATTCCTTCAGTCGAGGCAGAAGCAGGTTAGTTAAGAGGAAGTGGCCCAAGTGGTTGACACCTAAACACATGCTGAAGCCGTCGTCTGTCCAGTCGAGGACACCGGGCACGCCTGAGGAAAGGACAGAGTGACAAACACAGGATAAGTTTCAGCTGCTGCTGGTTGATTCTCAACATCTTCCTGCTCAAACTTCTCACCTGCATTATTGATCAGGATGTCGAGCCTCTTCTCCCTCTGGAGAAAGTTCTTGCAGAAGTCCCTTACCGAGCGCAGGCTGGCCAAATCCAGCTCCATGTGGAAGACGTCAAGCGAGTGACTCTTGAGTTTGATCTGTCTTACAGCCGTCTCTGCCTTGTTCTGGTCTCTGCATGCAATGATGACACGGGCGCCTCTCATGGCCAGAGCAACAGCTGTCTCCTTACCAACACCAGAATRACCACCTGAAAACAGGAAAACTGTGTTTATGATTTGAACAGGATACCTCCAGTCAGCTAAACAGGTGGTGTTWACATCATCCGACAAGTCAAATTYGACATTTTAWTTCAAATTATTTGACTCACCTGTAATAASAACCGTTTTACCATCAAGTCTTTTTAGCTCCGTGAAATATCTCCTCTTTTTCATCCATTTTAACATAAAAAATAAGCCTAAAGAAGRAAAAACTGTGTAAAGAAAATACATTTCTCTGTAGAGCAGAGAAGCTAACAAATATTGCTAACACTAGCTCGCTAGCTGGATATTAAAAMTTAAATAARGWTGACATTCTGGACATCAGAGCYATGTAGCTGAGGAAGCGATTAATATCCAAACTCACTTCAGCGTTTAAAAACATTGTTTCATTCATTCATATTCAGSTTACAACCCCCTTCACGACTCATCCGTCTGTTAAACAATCATAGTGAGCATGCGCGAGAAGTTGAACTCTCGCGAGAGTTTTGGACCAACGGGAATTGAGTTTTAACAGCACAGTTTTAAAGCTGCAGCTAAATTTAGTTTATAAATGCAAATAAAAACGCAAATGTTCATTGTTCTGAACGTTTATAATGTTTGTATTTTATTGTTATMACAAAAAGAAATCAGTTACTGCCTTAATGTAGTAAAAATAAAACAGATTTTTTTGTTAATTCCTGACTTGTAGTGACTTATAACTAACTCGTGACCAGGTCAGCTTGCTTTCTCTGACCTTTGGTTCACTTTCAGTCAAGGATAGTTTAACTCAGACACGACTGTTGTTCTGCTCRGTAACATAAACATGGGAGCATACACCAGAGAGATCATCATTTTTTGGGGAATTCTTATTTTTTCACCTCAAATAACAGGTATGTCTGCCTTTTAAATAATAATAATAATAATAATAATAATAATA